AGGGAAAACTTCTTTCTCCCGAAAAACACTCTGGCGCTGTGTGTCAAGTCTATCATTCTTCTCTCGCTCTCTCTCTCATGCTCTCTCTCTCTCCCTCTTCCCACCACCAACCCCCCACCTCTCTCCCCCTCACTCTTACACACACACACACACACTCTGAATTATATACACAAACACCGGCGTGTAGCAGTTCCAGAAACAGCTCGCCACCAAGGTCCACAATCAATGGAGGCCAAGTCAGCAACACCCACATCCCCTGAACTGAGTTTAAAAATAAGTGTCTGTGGTTTGCATAAGTCACGAGGACATAGATTGTTGTCAAAGATTGCTTTGGATTATAAACCTTCTTGCCAACCTGGCCAAATTGAGGGAATCATAACATAAGAAATAGGAACAGGCAGAGGCCATTTGGCTTTTTGAGCCTGCTGAACCATTCAATACATTCACGGCTGCTCTGATTGTGGTTTTAACTGTTTCTTATCAATTTCTCATAACCCTTGGCTCCCTTGACAAGGAAAAATGTCCTTTTAACCCAGCGTTGAAAGTATGCAATGTCACAGCTTCACCCACCCACCCACCCACCCCCCCCCCCCCCCCACACACACACACAAAAACACACACACAATTTTCTGAACAAGGGTCTAGACCTGAAACGTCAGCCTTCCTGCTCCTCTGATGCTGCGTGGCCTGCTGTGTGCATCCAGCTCTACACCTTGTTATCTCAGATTCTCCAGCATCAGCAGTTCCTACTATCTCTTAAATGTAAGATGCCTTGTTTTGAAACTGACTCCCTAATTCAAGATAGCCTGTTATTCCAAATGCTAATACGTTTTGACCCAACTGATTCCCTGTCTCATAAGACAAATCCCTTATTCCAGAAATCGGTCTAATGAATCTTTTCCAAACTACTTCCAATGCATGAATGTGGCCTTCAAGATTTGTGCATTTAGAAACAATGCTGGAGCTGTATATAGCATTAGGTAGGCCACAACTGGAATACTATGTGCAGTTCTGGTCTCCACACTACAAAAACAATGTGACTGGACTAGAGAGGCTGCAGAGAAGATTCATCAGGATGTTGACTGGACTGGAGCGATTCAGCCATGAAGAGAGATGAGATAGGCTGGGGTTGCTGTCCTTAGAAGGCTGGGGGAGGTGGATTGTTGAGGTGTATGAAGTTCTGAGGGGCACAGACAGTGTAGATAGGGAGAACCCGCTTCCCTTTAGCAGAAGAGTCAATAACCAGGTTATGATGCAAGGAGCACAAGGTGAGGGGGATTTAACTAAACTTCTTTACAGCCAGAGGTTGGTGGATATCTGGAACTCACTACCTAAAAGTGTGGTAGAGGCAGGAACCAATAGGACATTAGGAAGTATTTAGATAATCACTTGAAACAGTACAGTATACAGGATTAGAATAGAAAAATTCTTGATGGCTGGCACACATGATGGGCTGAAAGGCCTCTTGCCATGCTGTGAAAACTGACTAATGTCAAGTTGCACTTGAGTGACTACCCTCACATCGAACAGTTGTAAAAAAAAATTCAAACTTGAATAAATTATTCAATTTTTTTTTGGATGAGTGATGATTGTGTAATTAGCAACTGTACACTAGGCAAGGGTCTAATTCAGTCCAACATATATGCACCACTTTTCTGTAAGATCTATCCAATTACCCCAATGTCTCATAAACAATATTTTTCCTGTAAAATGTACTTTTCAATATATTCCATGTTCCTGCGGTGATGGTATGCAGTTAGATGTTAATGATTCCAAGGCCAATGAGCTGTGGAAACAATAACATTTCTTTAGGGAATTGATTTTGCTTTGTGGTTTCATTAATGCCAATTCAGTAGAGTAGGAAAAGCGATCAACTGTGTATGTTGTACATTTGAAACCAAAACACTGGAAAATATCAGCAGACAAGGCAGCTTTGTGAGAGATGCTGTAGTTCACATTTCTGATTGATTCTTTTTTACGAGAGGTGGAAGATGTTAGAGATAAGCAGTTATCAGATAAATACAGACCCAGGAAAAGGAAGACAGGAAATAAACAAAAGAGAAAGGTCTGTTACAGCAAGTCAAAATGGGGTAATCCGACGAATTCTGGACTAAGAGATAGTAAGAACTGCCAATGCTGGAGTCAGAACTGTGGAGCTGGAGGAACACAGCAGGCCAGGCAGCATCAGAGCAGCAGGAAAGTTCCTGTTCCTCCAGCTCCACACTTATCTCTCAATTCTGGACTGATCTTTTGTTTCTGAAGAGACTTAATTAGTTACAACAGACAGGGCAAGAAGCATAGAAAATCCAGCCATCTGGAGAAAGCTGGCTGTAACACGGTTTAAAAAGGGCAGGAAGAACCACATATCTTGAACAGTAAGCATTCCTATCCAAGTACCAGCTCTGCGTTCACTCCAGTTAGCTCTGGCGCAGCCCTACTATTCAATAGAAAGTGGGAGCAGTGGTTATTACCTAATGATTCTAAATCTGTGTAAGACAAAATATTTGTAAAGTGCCAAGTAGAACGATGCTGTTTTTCAAGTGTTGTTGAATTTCACTAGAAGGGACTAGCTGAAGACAGAGGATAGCGTGGGAGTATGGTGGAGAAGTGACACGGTAAGTGAATGGAAGCTTAGGAGCACGCTTGTGGACTGATCAGATGTGTACATTAAACCAATCACCCATCTTGTTTTGGTACCCCCATTGGAGAGGAATCTTGCATTAGCCATTAGAATCAAATCATTAACTTTGCAAAGCCTTGGTTTGCTTGCAAATCTGTTCATAACAGGCAACAACATTAAAAGATTTGTGATTATAAATATTGGTTTCCTGTTAACAGCTCTAAAATGTCAAACTTGTCAGTTGGCCAGTTCTTGGAAAAGCTTGGGTGAACAGGCAAAAAAAAACCCTCCGTCTAGAGGAATCTGATTAATTTGTCTAGTATCAATAATTAATTTGCCCAACACTTTACTTTGCCAGTGACAGTTCTAATTAGCACAACATAAAATTGCCAATCTTTTGGCCTTGGTTCTTATTTATTTTGAAGACATTTTAAAATGTGTCCTGCTTTTATAAGGTATTCTGCATATTTATTGATACACAGTCCAGTAAATGTGAATGATTTAATACAGTGTATTCTTAATATTTACTGAGAAATGTCTTCAAATTCATGTAGTTTAAGGTTTATGAGTATATATCATAAGGCTATGTACTTGTAATCAATTATATCTCAACAGCTGCTTAGTGTATCTGAGTTTACAATAAAGATGTTTGGATATACAAGGGACTATTCATTATGATAAGAATCTAATCTACACTGTGGAATTCTCAGTTTAAACTTCAGCCTTTCAGGCCCTCTTTAAAACCCGTTTTGTAATCTTTCTGACCTTGGCCATCTTTCGTTTGCTGTCTTTTGTTTGTGTCTCTGGGAAATTTTTTGGAAATTTGTCTCAGCTTGGAGTTGAAATCACATTTACACAAATGCACAATGAATCACTGAACCTACCTCAATTATGACGCTTTGCATTTAGAACAGACATTCTCTACACCATTTAGAGCCATGTGACCTCCTAGAAGTAACAAAACCAAGACCAGTTGTGGGAAAAGTAAATGAGGAAATTGGAAGAGAAGTCTAGAAAAAAAATTATATTACTGAAGAGAACACTTTCCTTCATCTTCCTCTTCCTTTCCCTGCCAGCTTTGCTAAATCCACAGGATTATGTTGGTGTGATTTATATTACAAAGGTGACTGCTTCTTGTACAAGGTGAAATCTTCCAAAGTTAGGAGCAAGTCCAGCTCTTTCTCAATGCACTGAATCAGCATTTACTGCATAAGCTGGCAACCATTTCAACATGTCCACTGTTTATGCACATGATTCACATATCAGACAAACTAATTCTGTCCTTGCATTATGTTTAAATATGAACTTGTTTATACCTATTGAATTAAAATTACTCTACAAAACATAATTTGATCCCTTTGTTCTTTGTGAGTCTGTCCAACTCCCTACTCAATCCCTGAAACCCTCCATATACCATGACTAACCCACCTAGCCAGCAGAGATAGTAGGAACTGCAGATGCTGGAGAATCCGAGACAACAAGGTGCAGGGCTGGA